TGATTAGGGAAACCAAAGTTGTACAGGGTAAAACTGGCTTACATGTAAGGGCAACTGTACACAAACGTACAATTTCATGTGCATTACCATTTTTCATTTCTGCTATTTACTGTCTCTCCCTACCCAAGTCTCATCATATTTTTCTCATTTTCCAGGTCTTCCCAATGTTTGAATGTTTTGTTACTGTTTTTGGCATGCTTTCTCTGATTTCTTTGTTTTTAAAACCTTTTTCTGAGGTTATTTCACATAATTGGTTTTTTGTAACGCTAAATGTTTGTAGGAACAATATCATCTGATAATTAAAAACTTTTCCTCTATAACTTACAAATAAATTATCTACTCCAACTCATTGGAAAGTGGTAGTAGGGTGTAAAGTAGTCATATAAAGTACTTTGTGTAAAGAATTGAGATTTTCATTAGATTTTGTTGGAGGCAGATCAGTCTTGTCAGTCTTATTCCTTTGAGTTTATTCTTTTATATTTTTGAAATTCTACCAAGCAAAGTTGTTTATTTCCAAAGGCAGTAAAACAATAGACTCAGGGGCAAAGCACAAAGGGTTTAACTTCCTTGCTTTATAATATCCTGCTCTGGAAGGAGATAATCCATTTACAAAAGAACTAATCCAGTCTCTCACTACAAGAACTGCACCAAGCCACCCACGTTCCGCCCGTAATCTGAACACCTCCCATTAGGCCTGCCTTTCAACACTGCCACATTGGGGAATCAAATTCCAGCAAGAGTTTTGGCAGGGACAAACTACATCAAAACCATAGCACTGAGTCACCGAGGTGAAGTAATTTGCCCAGTGCTGTACAGTTAGTGGCATAACTGGTATCCTAACCCAGGCATCCTTACTCTAAAGCCTATAAAGTCTTGAGGGATGAGAAGATTGGAAATCATCCCAGACTTGAGAATAAAACATTGAGGAGAAGATAAATAGAAACTTTCTATTCAGAATGGCAGGGGAGTGATTCTTCAAGAAGAGGAGACAGGTCACTTTGGCAATCTTAGCATAAGGATTCTGGAATTATACTACTAGTTTTAAATTTCATCTCCACAACTTATTGATAGTTTGACCTTAGTGACTAATGAAATGTGATAATAAAATGTGATAATACATTTAAAGAAATGAGAATAATGTCTGGCCCATAGTGAGGACTCAATAGATGTTAGCTGCTGCAATTATTGTTATTGTCATATGAGTCACATGGATTTTGGATGATTTGTTTGATTACTGTATCAAATTTTAAAGGCTATGTGGAATTAAAAAAATGAACTTGAAGACTGATTTCTAGTATCTCTGGAGTCATCTGAAAAATTGGGGCCACAATAAATTTGGTTATTTAGCAAATGGAATTTACCATTAATTTGAAATTCAATTAAAAATTATTAAAGTATTAAAAATTTATGTCACAGTTTTTTCAGGTTACTTGTTACTTAGCATGTTTTGTTTTGGGGGTTCAATAATTATATGTAAAATACAGGAAAGGAATAGGTTTTCTCTGTTTAATAAACCCCATATAATTTATTAAATGTGTGCATTTATTTTTCTCTGTCTTAAGTTTATAATAAAAAAAAAGTGATAGCAGTTAGTCTAACTTCATGTATATGGCTTTTTTTGTGTCCATTCAATTCCCATATTTATTTTAAAATCTCACATTTATTGTCTTTATGTTCAGCCAAAAATGATCTTAATGTGCTTTATTTGGGACATAGATTTAAAAATTCTCTTTATAATTTAATTAATGTTGTATTTACTAATTTTAATACCTCATCCTTTTTTCAAATAAAAATCCAATCTAAAATTAGTAAACCTATTATTTTTACCAAGACGAACCAGTTTTCTCTTAGCTACCTATTCATTATAGGTATACCTTATATGTGAAATTGACTTAGAATCTGTCTTCTAATTACAAAGCATATCTTTGCTTTTGGAAATTTAAAAACAAAAAAAGGAGAGTAGTTGTATGATATTTGGTTGTGTAACTGAATGTCCATTGTACCTCAGCTTAAGAGGTACATTGTATCTTGGATTAAGAGCTGCATTGTTTTCATTTATGTTTTTAGCTAAGCTTCTCATTTTCATCAGCAAGAGCATTAGGGAATTATTTTATTATCTTATTTTTCTCAACTTTATTAAAATATATTATTCCTAACTCAGTTTTAGTTACCACCCTGAAAATTTTTTCTTTCCCTTGCTATTTTTTTGATGTCTTTATTAAATTTTTATACCTTCTGTAACTTTATTGACATTCATTTCAAACAATTGATGATTCTGTCTCATTTATAGGTTGCTGTTTTTCACATTTCTCTCTACTATATGAAGTGGCAGGATTTTCCCATTCTTCAATTTGAGATCATAAATTGCCTGGGGAGCATAGCATGATCATTAATTGTGGACCCTGGAACCTGACTGCTTGGGTTTGAATCCAACTCTCTAGTTTCCTAACATTGTTACCTTGGGCTCAATACAAGGGTACTTCAAAAAGTTTGTGGAAAAATAGAATTAAAAGATAATACAAATCTTCAAAAATGAACTTTTGGAAGTAACCTTGTATATAATCTGTCAGTGCCTGAGTTTCCTCACTTGAGAAATGAGAATGATAATAGTAGCTACCTTAGAGCTGTGAAATGTAAGTTACTTAGGTTAGTGCCTAGTGCACAGTAAATGCTTGATAAATGGTACTGTTGATATTGTTGTTATCATAGATAAATCAAGTGGTGAGAAGTAGTATAGCATCCGAATCAAGATGCACCCAGCCCTGTCAGTGCTTTCTAATATTCTCTTCTAATTTATTTTTTAAAAAAGCAGAATTAAAGGGTTTTATTTTTTAAATTTCTTCTGTTGCAGTCTGCATGCATTATAAATTTTTCTTAGTGAATAAAATTGAGACCTAATATAAAATAAAAACTCCATAGTTATGATTAATAAAATACCATTTAAAAGCTATAATTTCAGTATCTTCAACAAATTTGATGAGTATTTTTTAAGCATATTTGAAATGTAGTATTATTACTATTATACACACAGATATCAATATCGTTGTTCAGGCTTGCAGTCAAAGAATTCTGAATCATAAAACCATAAAAAATATCGTAGCTAGAAATTGCTCTGTTCTGTTGGCCTCTTAATATGCAACTACACAGTTTTATTAATGTCATGCAAATTTTAGAGGATTGGGTTTCATTAGTAAAAGGAATAGAGAAATATTTGAATGTATGTCATGTGCACATTATTAGCCCTATTAGTCCCTGGCTGGAGTACACTGAAATAGCTTGTGATCTTGTTATATCAGTGCATGACTCTGTAGGGAAGGTGAGCATTGGTTATATTTCATCAAAAGAGACCCATTACAAGAGTGGATGAATTCTTCCATTTATATTATTTATATTGTAAGTCCTTTAAAGGCTCTTTCTTGTATAATTGAGTTTTATAATAGACCAGTTAAGAACATAATGAATTAAGACCTATTAATATGTGTTGCTTTTTTAAAAAAGACAGCTCTGAGGACAGTTTCCTGTAATTTATTATGTTTTTGAAAATGCGAGGTTTTATTTTATTGACTAATTTTGTTAAAAATAGGAACTTAAGGGCCGAGCCCGTGGCACACTCGGGAGAGTGCGGCGCTGGGAGCGCAGCGATGCTCCCGCTGTGGGTTCTGATCCTATATGGGAATGGCTGGTGCGCTCGCTGGGTGAGCGCCGTGTGGGCGACATCACACCAAGGGTTGCGATCATCCCCTTACCGGTCACGAAAAAGACAAAAAAAAAAAAATAGGAACTTAAATTTATTGAATGTTTACCATATTTTGGCATCATACTGAGAACTTTACATGCATTATCTCATTTAAATCTCACACCACTCTCACTGTCTTCATCATTTAATAGACTGGGAAACTAGAGGTCAAATAAGATTAGCTGTTAAGGGGTAAAATTCAAACTCTGTAGTCTTAAGAGTACTTCTCATATTCTAGAATCTTTGAGGTTATTTTAATACTAAAGTAATTCATGATTTTGTGTATTTTTGTAGTTAACAATTCTAATTATTACTCTCAATTGCTTAAATTTCATTAGGGTAGACAAGAACATCAACATGTTTATAGTAGAACAAAGAAAGGATGATATATAAAAAGCAAATAACTCACTTTATCATGGTTGGTATATATGTCATGCAATTTGCAGTTGTTGATAGTTTTTATATTCTAATTTACTTTAAAGATGGGAGGGAGATAGGAGAGATGAAATGGTAAGAGAGAGGAAGAAAAAGATAGTCTGGACTTCTGGAGGTTTTTCTAGGGTTAGGTAGGAGAATGTACAGAGGACATAAATAACAAGAACCACTGCAGAAAGCAGATTATGTTGGGCCAGGGCAGAGGAAACCAGTACAATTTGGGGTTATGAAAGACAGATTATTGTTATTTTATCATTTATTCCATTTTGATAATTTTTTTTCACATGAGGCTTTATTACAACATTTTAGAACTGGAAGAGACTCCAGATAATCTAACAATAGCTAGTTTCCACTCACCGTATTTTACAGGCAAGGAAACTGAGTGACTAGAAGGTAATTGTCCAAGAGAACATGGTGTTTTAGTAGCAGAGCAGGGTCTGTTATCCATAACTTTTGATTGCATGCTTGTGCTCTTTTCCCAATACCCTCTTTTCCTTAAAGTTTCAAACAACTCATAAATCTATCTGAGAATGAAATAGAAGTAAAGAAATCTATGTAAACCCCTGCCTTCTGATTATTCCCTATTGACATTCTTTCTTGATGGGTGTTTGAAGTGTGATGGGGTGAAGAGGTAAATTGCTTAAATATTTGCAGAGTTTATGTTTATAGATTGTGTATTTGATTTCTAATTAAATTATTAGTGATAAATTTTTCTTTTGCTTAGAAATTTGAAACATTGGATTTATAAGTGACATATTTTAGATCTATTTTTTCTGTTGCCAAAATAATGTAAATACTAAAGTCATGTTTTTCTCTTTTCATTTTGCAGTAGTATTATTGATTCCACAGAATACAGCCAACCTCCAGGTTTCAGTGGCAGTTCTCAGGTAAATGATACATTTAACAGTATATTTTAGTGGTACCATTAGTATAATCACCTGAGTTGTCAAATCATAGATTAGTTTACTGAAATGTCCTGTCATAAAGACAGCTGCTTTGAATGCTGTTGTGTTGATTAGGACTTCAATAGCTCTGATGGATAATGGCAGAATCAACATTTATTTGGTTGTCAATGATAAGAGCTTAAAGTTTTTTTTAACTTACTGGTAAAATCAGACCTTGAAAGCAAGGAAATACTTTAGGAGGAAATTATGAATAATTAAGGCATTGTTTGTCTTAGAGATATGAAAGTTATAATTTATTGCTGAATTACCCATCATTATGTTGAAACATTAGCTTTTCTATGGAATGTAGACTACAGGCTTGAGTAAAAGAGACACTAGCTTTACCTTTTCAGATTCATCGTATGATTATTTTGAATTTTATTCTCTTTATCTTTGACTTGGGGATGCTGATATTTGTCAAACCAAGTTTTAGGCTTGATGTTTTTTCTTAACTTTTTATTTTGAAATAATTTCAGACTTAGAGAAAAGTTATAAGAATACTAAAAAGAATTCCTTCATGTTCTTCATCCAGATTATTCAAACACTAACATTTTATCCCATTTGTTTATCATTCACATTCGGTCTTTCTTTTATGTATATATGCATATAATTTTTTTCTTTGGATTGCTTGTGAGGTTCAGGCATGTGTTTCTTTACTCTTAAATATTTCAGGGTATATTTCCTTAAAAACAAGGTTATTGCCTATGTAATAACAATATAATTATTTTTAAATTCAAGAAGTTAATATTGATACAATGCTATTATCTAATCCCTAGATCTTATTCAGATTTACAAATTGTCTTAATATTATCCTTTATAGTAAAAAGAAAAAAATGAGGTGTGCTTTTAATGCGCATTCCTTTGTATTTTCACTTTATGTGGAAAAAACAGTGCCGTTATTTTTGTTAAAGTGGAAAATAAATTCTTTTGGGTCATATTACTTTTCTTTATTTTATTTTAATTTTTCCAAAACATGGCTGACTTCCTCTCTTACTTTTAGTGGTAGTTTATGTGACTGCTCTCTCTGTTATCTTGATGTGCATGCCTGCATTTGGCCTATTCTTTTTTTATAGTAAGTTCACAGATGGGTTTGTATCTGTTTCTAAACAGCCATGAAAACGCCAGATTCAGGTGTTGGATTTTTGTTTGTTTGCTTTTTGTTTTTTAAGAAGTTACATTGGGTTGTATCAGGAGAAGCTTTAAAGGCTTGAATTGAAATACACCCTGAGAACTTGAGAGTTCAGAGAGAACAGCAGTCCTTGAATCTGGAAACTGGCTTGACATTCATAGCTAGGTCTAGATGTTCTCCTTTAGAACATAATTTCACAGAACATCATCAGACAAGGCCACTTTATGAATATGATAAAGTGAAACAAAAAACAAGATCACTCTATAAACTTTATCACATAAAAAAATAAAGTCACTGTACAAACCACAAAAATACCAAACACACCCCTATCCTGACTGCTGAGTGATTGATAGTTCTTTACCAGTCACAACTTTAGCTTCATTGTAGTCTTCTGTTTTTCAAGGTAAGATTTATTAACATACTCATAATATTAGTCCCATTTGACAATATCTAACCCACAGTGAAGCCACACTTCCTTGAATCCTCCCTCAACTTATTTAACATGAGCTCAAATCCTGTAAGTTGTTTCTAATACTCTCTGAGACACCTCTTACTTACCTCTAGTGTGCCATCTTCATTGCAATGAGCAATAAATTAAACTTTTTCAACTACAGATGTGTTCTTATTAATCTGGCTAGAAGGCATTGGTAAACTCTAGATAGAGGAAGAAAAGGTTTCCTAGGTTACCATTTATATAACATTGCTTTGGAATTTCTAGCAAATCCCATGAGCTAGAAAACAGGAGAAATTGAATCTGGAGGAAGAAGAAAAGCAATTAGAATAGGTTTTTTTTTTTGTATTTTAGAATATCTTACTATTATGTATTACGTAGTGAAGGAGACTTCTGGTTTGAGATAGTGCACTGAGACAATGTGTTAATATCTCCCTGATCCCCACCCACAAGAAATCTTACTCATATTGCTGTCCTCATATCAAAAACTTGGAAGAATTTATAGATAATTAAAAAAAACACTTAGCAAGGCTGGCTAGTTAGCTCAGTTGGTTAGAGTGTTGTGTTGATAAATAACACCAAGGTCAAGGGTTGGGATCCCTGTCCTGGCCAGCTGCCAAATAAAAAAAAATGAACACATATTCTCTGAGAAGTTCTAGGCAGAGGGAACAACAAGGAAATAAGCCCTGAGGTAGGAGCATGCCTGGCATAGTCCAGAAGTCCATTGTAGCTGGAGAGGAGTGAACAAGAGAGAGAAAGGTAGACGATGTATAAAAATAACAGAACACTTATGCCTGGCTTTCTTAGGCCACTCTAAGGACTTCGAATTTTTTTTTTTCTTATTGAAATGTATTAAGCTTTGACCAATAGGTATTTGTCTCACTTTATATTTTGCATCCAAAGATGCACATTGTAGTAGTCCTTGGAGCATTTAGAAAAATGGATTGATTCTAAAACAGGACAAATTGTGCCATCTGCGTTCTCTGAATCAAAACCCCAAATAAATGTAAAATCTGGAAGAGAGTAGATTAACGACTTCTCTGAATACCTTTTCCCAGATGCATTTACAAACTATTCCAAAAATAATACTAGTGAAAACATTACGTATCAAAAGTTTATGGAATGCAGTTAGCTTTGTACTAAAATTCATAACAGTAAATGCTTTCATCTTTAGATAAGAGTGAAAATAAATGAACTAGGCATTCACCTCAGGAGGCTACATTACCATAAGATAGTAACTGTAGAAAGACACGTTTTACAAAAAGCCCATATGCAACATAAATTGAAATTAGCAATTATGATGCTGAGTAGATTAAAAAAATTAAGGCAGTGCTGATGTATACTAAAAAAACAAAAGCAGTCTTGATGAAATGTGTAGTTTTCAAGAAAAATATAAAATATTAAAACAGATTAAAGCAATTTGGATAGACCAATAGCCATAATTATTAATTTTAGTGGGATTCCAAGAAAAAAAAATTCCAACAACATTTGTAAGCGTGATTCAGAGGTAAATGATGAGGGCATTTATTCCATTAGCTGTTAAAATGTGCTCTAAGACTCCTGTTAGAAAAGGAGAAGAACAAATATTAAAAATCCAGCCAAAAAGTAATTAATAATTTAATCTGTGGTAAAGGTGGTTCACGCAGATCAGTGTTGAAACATTTTGTTGGGATAACTGGGTAAAACAATTCGATGGAAATTTAGCTTCTTTTTCTGTCATTTACTGAAAGAGACCAGATAGCTAAATAATGACTGAAGTTCCAACCAAACTATAGAAATTAAGAAAGAAACCTGCATATGAGAAAGCACTACAAACAAAATTTATACCCCAGTTCGGAAAGATATTGTAAGTATGGTAGGTAAATGACTTAATCATTTCAAAATACAAAAAGCTTTGATACTGATCTCCTCTTTTTAATGAAAGCACCAAATATAGTAAGAAAAATTGGTGAAGGACATGGTTCAAAGGTGAAAATTCACATTCAGCTCACATAAGAAATGACACTCAATTTCTTTAATAATAAAAGCATAATATGAAGCAATATATGATACCAAAGAAGTCATCTAATACTTATGGCTAGAATCAAAGGGATGTTTCAAAATAGTAAGTGCTCTTAGGTACAGTGTGGGTTGGGGGAAGGAGGATAAGTGGAAGGATGGAGGGAGAGGGAGAGCTGAGTTGGTAGTCTTCCAGGAAGACAACTTGGCAGTATATGCATATTGCAAATGCTAAAAGCATTTGGTTTGGTAATTATATACCAAATGTGGCATTTATTGTAAGGAATGATTCAAAGTATTAGGTAAAGATTATATACCAGTATTAATTATATAAGCAAAAATTCTGGAAAAATAAACATGCCTTGCCATAATAGAATGGTTATAGAAATTATGCTACAACTATAGGATGGATTACTTTACTGTTCTTAAAAATAATGTTTAAATAATTGAGAAATAGTTGAAATTGAATTGAAAAGCAAGTGAAGCCACAAACATGTGGTCTTTATATAGTTATTTTATACTTCCAAATTTCTGTAATTGCCTATTGATTTTGCTTTAGAATTTTTATATAGCTATAGTACAATTACCAAAATTAGGAAATTAACATTGATATAGTATAAAGTAAGAGAACTTTTACCACTAATGTCCTTTACAGAAAAAGAAAAAAAAAAATTCTTGGTCCAGAAGCAATTCAGAATCACTTGTTTCATTTCTTTACCATGTCTCTTTAACCTCCTCTGAACTGGTATAGTTACTCAGTCTTTAATGAGATTGATTTTTTGAAAAGTATTAAGTTTATTTTATAGGATGTTCCTCAATTTGAGTTCAATATTTCCTTATGCCTAGATTCAGATTATTCACTTTTGACAGGAATACAACAGAAGTGATGTGTCCTTAGTTTGTCATATCTGAAGGCATGTGATACCTCTTTTGTTTTAGTGTTGGTAATATTACTTTGATCACTTGATTAAGGTGATGTCTGCCAGATTTCTCAACTATAAAGTCACCATTTTCTCCCCTTTGAGCATCTGAAATTACTTGAAATAATTGTTAATATAGTGGTTGCCCAAATGATAATTTTCATTTCTACATTTATTAATTGGCCCTTCTCTTTGTTTATATCATTGTGGAAACATGGATTCTTAATATATTCTTCTAATTTTGAAATCCTTGTATTAGCTCTATTTAGCTCTAGTAGTTTCTGAGAAATTTCTACCTAAAAAACTCATGTGATCTGCAAATGGAGACATTTTTTACCTATTCTTTTTTCCCTGTCTCCCCTTTCTCTCACCTTCTTTATCTTTTCTCCTCTCTCCTCTGCTCCCTGCCCTTCCCTTCCCTTCCCACTTCCTCTCTTACCTCTGA